AAAGCAGTTTGTTTTTGGTTCAAAAGCAAAACGCCCACCACATGCGTGAATTTATCCCTCTTTTATGTCTGGTCAGATGTGATAGTAAGACAGGAGGCAGGGGAGGCAAGAGAGGGGACTACAGACAGCAAGATACGTGTTAGCAGATGACTGGAAATACTATTTTCAGTTACTCTGGCTGCCTAGAGAAGAGCGCACTTACTTTATGCTGCGAAAGTCATGCTTTCTGATGAGGTCTATCCAGTGGTTTAGCTTCTGATCCCTGTAGCTCTCCAGGTAGGTGAGAAGGTCTGCTCTAAAATGCGTATCACTATCAGCAGTCGACGTAGTTGCCATCAGTTTCGGCGATATCCAAATTCTGTAAAGGGGGGGGGACGAGCAGGACTAACTTTTACATGTTTGAGGGAGAATAATGACTAAAGGGGAGGCAAGAAAAAATACCCCTGAGTACGGTAGCTCCAGTCGTCTTCAATGAGGTTTGCTGTATGGATAACCACGCGCATACCGTCGGAGTAGTGCAGAAGCATCATCTTTCTGTGTTAAGGAGAAAACAAAAAACGCGATTTTAAAAAAGGCTCCGAAACGCCACGAGGAGACTGCACTCTAAGAGTAATACAGTCAGGTCCAATTAATTAGTCCACACTGAACGTAATGGCTTCGGGTCCGGAGTTACACTAAAGAACCACTGATAAGTGGGTCAAACTTCTTCAGTCGCACACTTTAGAAAGCCCTGGATATCCTAGTAGTGTGGGGGATAGGACAGTGCATACTCAAACCAAACTGCGGACATCGGATTTTTAAAGTCATATAGAGTTACTGCCTTCTATTTCCTCTCAACGGGCAGAGCTCTCCATCGTACAATTCACCCTAGAGGTGCGCCACCAGGGACTCCAACCCGCGACCTTCTGAACGGAAAGCTTTCGCTCTAACTCACTGAGTTACGGCCTCGTTGTCTTGCCGCTTTAGATCGGAAGATATTGACACCCCTTACTGAACGTTCGCCGATCGTTAATGGAATTCATTCATCCGGTTCTGCCCTGGGAATCATTCTTGAGTCCCGCCAGCAGCTTAGGCCTAATGATTAGAGCGTCACTCTTCGGATTAAAAGGTCGCGAGCTCGAGAATGAACCCCAAGGCAGAGCAAAACGACTAGGTTCCGTTAGCAATCGGTCAGCGTTCATCAAAGAGTGTCACTACCCAGCGTGTCACTGGCGTGCTCTTTTAGCTCTGTGAGCTGTCACATCGCTATAGGCCTATGTGATTAGCCTGACTGAAACCCCCAGGTCTGCTTAAAATGCCGGCTTCCCTCTCAACCTTATCCAGCTGCATTTTAAACAAGAGCAATTTACAGTCCTAGTAAGCGGAGCAGGTGCGATCCGTTTTAATTCTTCCACACCTGACCTGAGTGGACGGCAGACGCAATAACCTATATCAACCATTCGCCGATAGAAAGGAAATGGGTGTTATAATGGAAGAAGTAGTATTCATGGCTGTTATAGCAGTAGTTGTAGTAGTAGTAGAAGTAGTAGTAGTAGTAGTAGTAGTAGTAGTA